ACTCTTCATATTAATCTGCATTAATTATATCGCATTAACACGCCCTAGGCTTGCCAGTCGTTCCTAAGTTTACCACGATGTAGGTACGTGGTGCTCCCACTGTACGTAATACAGAATACAGTCGTCGTTTTCATTCAGCTTGCGGCCGAATTATTTCTCGTGTCATAGGAATTTTCTTTCTTTCTGTGCATTATTTTTGTGATATTTCATCTCGTATTTTTGTGATCACGAGCTCGTAACTTCATTAGTAAAGCCCTAACTCTGATATTTTCCTTCCTCTTCCAGCGCCACCGCCCAGAGTATGGAGAGTAAAGAAAAATGGACTTGCATAGCCGCTGCGCGAATGCCTGCTCTCGGCGTGCGTCCTGTCCGCCCGCGCTGCCATAAGCGAGCCACTGTGACCAACAAAAAGATCCAAAAACAAACCAGGGCCAACACATCAGCTACTGAGGTGAGCTACCACTGTCGCGTTAGATTCAGCTAATGTAACCCAACAGAGTAGTAGAAGTACATACTACTCTTTTTGGGCTTACGATTATCTGTTCATACAACTACCTTATGCTCATACACCTACTCGGTGTTGGGGTTACATTATGTATCAACATACCTATGCCCATACAAACTCTACTCTTGTTGGGTTACATTATTGTATACAACTACCTATGCTCATACAACCTACTCTTGTTGGGTTACATTATTGTATACAACTACCTATGCTCATACAACCTACTCTTGTTGGGTTACATTTATTGTAATCAACTACCTATGCCTCATCAAAACCTATTCTTGTTGAGTTACATTATTTGTATACAACTTACCTATGCTCATACGCACTACTCTTGTTGGGTTAACATTATTGTATACAATCTTACCTATGCTCATACAACCTACTCTTGTTGGGTTACATTATTCGGTATACAACTACCTATGCCTGATACAACCTTACTTCTTGTTTGGGTTACATTATTGTATAACAACCTACCTATGCTCATACAACCTACTCTTGTTGAAGTTACTTATTGTATACAACTACCTCATGCCCATCACAACTACTCTTTGTTGGCGTTGCATTATTGTATACAACTACATTATGCCCCTACAACCTACTCGTGTGTTGGCCGTTACATTATCTGCTATCAACCTACTATGCTCATACAAACCTTACTCTTAGTTGGGTTACATTATTGTATTACAACTACCTATGCTCATACAACCTACTTTGTTGGGTTTACATTATTGGTATACAACCCTACCTATGCTCATACACCGTACTCTTGTTGGGTTACATTATTGTATACAAAAACTACCTATGCCCCATACAACTACTTTGTTGGGTGACATTATTGTATACAACTACCTATATGTCATACAATCTACTCTTTGTTCGGTTGCGATTATTGCTATACAACTACTATGCCCATTACAACCTACTCTTGTTAGCGGTACTATTGATCATTATCGATCAACACTGTTGCTTACATTTTGTATACAAACTCCCTATGCTCATACGACCTACTCTTGTTGTTACATTATTGTTACAACGTACCTATGCTTTCATACGACCTACTCTTGTTGGGTTACATGATGTGTATACAACTACCTGATGCCTCATACAACCTACTTTGTTGGCGCTTACATTATTGTATACAACCACCTATGCTTCATACACAACCTACTCTTTGGGTACATAGTATAAACTACGAGCTCAACCCTTCTGAGTCTACATTATTGGTATACAACCTACCTATGCTCAGACAACCTACTCTTGTGTTACATTATTGTATACAACTACCTATGCTCATACAACCTACTTCTTGTTGGGTACATTATTGTATACAACCTACCTATGCTCATACAACCTACTCTTGTTGGGTTACATTATTGTATACAACTACCTATGCTCATACAACCTACTCTTGTTGGGTTACATTATTGTATACAACCTACCTATGCTCATACAACCTACTCTTGTTGGGTTACATTATTGTATCTATGTTGCCGTGTGCGCAGATCCATCTCTCAGTCATCGCGCGTCGATTCTCGATCGCCGTCGAGTATAATTCCCCGTTATCTCGCTAAAAGTCGCGCGTCGATTCTCGAATGCTGTCGAGTACATCCCTGCGATTTCTCGCTAAACGTCGCAACGTCTTGCTGCCGGCAGGTGTCTGATGCTGCACAGTAGTCAGGCGCCGGAGGTTGAGGCCGACATCATGGGGGACCTTGGCGTCGGCGCCGTGACGCGACTAGAGGCGCATCAGAACAGCGTCATCAACTGTTGCGCGCTCCCCAACAAGAATCTGCTGGCGTCCAGGTGCGTTGCCTCTCGACACAGGTAGACTGCTGCAATTCACGGTCAGAAGACTAAAATCAGCATTTACTTTGTAACGTGTTACGATGCGCGGCCTCAACAAAGACGGATGCGATATACGAATGTTTTGCGTATGATTTTCATATGTCTCTATCACAATTCGTAGGAACATTTAAAAGTAATGACCGATGTCAATACAATCGGTATCATATATAAGCGTGATCATATACATTTTTATAAATAAATAAAGCAAACTTCCATTGTAAAGTAAAGTGTAAAACTCTATCTCTGTCTACTCGGAACATAGTTTAGTTCTTATAATAAAGCCGACGCTTCAGTGACATTGGCATTTTTTTCTTTTTTTTCTATTTCGTTTTTATAACAACGTTATAATGAAAACGACGCTGAATGAACCGACGTTAGTATTGGTCTTCGTATAGTCGGCATTGTCTGCAGTTTGCTGTGTAAGCGAGGGGCGTGACTCGTGTGAGCGCGTTATGTTGCAGTGCGTGTGACGGCACAGTGCGCGTGTGGAGCCTCGCAGGCGGCCGCGCGCAGCCTCCGCTGCTGCAGCAGACCTGCGTGTTCTACGACGGCGCCGGCACGATGAGCGCGGAGCGGCTGGACGGTCAGCCGCCGGTCAACGCCTGCTGCAGCGCGACCGGCCGGCTAGTGGCCGCCTCGATTGCGGAACTCGTCAACGTGTGGTGCGTCGCCGGTGAGTGCATCGACACGCGGCTCTCCCTGTGTGATTCTCCTGGAGCTCTCACGCCTTGTCACGAGCGAATGACGATGCGTAAATAGCACCGTAGAGGAATCGCTCATAATTCTGATTCTGATTTTGATTGATCTCACACCTTGTGTATACTTTACAGCCCATATCTCCGTGTAACAGGGAGACAGCTTATGTATGTACTTACATGTATATCCACACCATGTGTGTACCTTATAACACATATCTTGTTTAGAGGTTTGCTACTTCTTATTTGTATCTCAAGCCTCATATACTTCATATGAAACTTGTATATAGATTTTGCTTTGTTCACGCATCATATGATATTCACATCGTCCACTCGTCCATTCCGTTCATGCATAAGGGCAGCTATTAGGCAGGTCTGTTAGGAAAAGCAGCCCGCATAGCGAGCGCAGGAGTTACCGGTCGTGGACAATTTTAGGCATAGACACTGCGTTCGTTCGTAGTTAAAGCGTGGCGCCGTGCCACCGTATGTGACGGCTTCTCGTAGTCTCGATCCTCACACAGCCTCTTCACCTCCCTCCATCTGTCTGCAGGCGGGCAAGGCAACCTGATCACCCAGTCATCGCAGATCACCGCGCTATGCTGGCCTCGTAACCGCGACGCCACGGCGGCGGCGGCGGCCACGGCGGTGTGCGAGATGCGTCTCACGCACGCTTCCGAGCCACTCCTTATTGGCTGTCTAGACGGGTCAGTCAGCGTCGTAGATGTCATCGATGGCTCGACGTACCACCAGGAGGCACTGCATCACTGCGCGCGGAAGGACGCTAACGGTAGGAGGCGTTGCAACATGAGGCAGTGTGTGATTACTTGTTAAACATAATTGTTAACGTATTAGTTGACTAATGTTTTATAAGACGTTTTTTAAATTTATTTACTACCGATATATATAGGTGATATAAGCGATGTCGAACATTAAATAGAGATTAGATGGTTTTTAAACACATTTTTATGTGTTTTTTATAATTATTATTATTTTGTTAATTTTAATCATCACATCTATTCTCATCTCGCTGGCTATAGTATCAATCAGCGCCCTCCAGTGGTTTGATGAGGAGAAGCGATTTGTCATTGCCTATGGTGACGGTGTAGTGGGACTGTGCAGCAGGGATGCTGGGAAGCTGCCATGGTTTACCCATGCTCATGAGGTTTGTAGTCAGTAATATCTAGCCATGGCTTACTCAAGCTCACAACTGAGGGTACTCAGTCATCATACCTTATACAAACCGTCGGTTATCTATAAACAGTAATGCGACTGACCAAAAGCAAAGTTAAAGCCACGTGTCTTTTCTTTTTGAGAGAGTTGTGACGTTTAAGGCCTAACACACGCAACAGACGCTCGTTATAATACAATAAATCCATTTGTTTTTTCTTACCAACACGCATTAGACATGTTCTAATGCAACACAAACATTTGTATTTCGCATTCAACGCACACAGCAGACTTTCTCACATAGAGCCAAAGCATTTCTCATGAATGCGAAACATGCTTAATCTCAATGACGCTCATCACAGTGGAAGGCATAATGGCATCGCACCCGGCGCGTGGTCAATTTTCAGTTGAGAATCAATGTTTTTGTTGCGTAGCATTACAACAGAGGTTTGCCTTGTGGGTGAGGCTTAACAGCTGTGTGTGTGTGATTGCAGAATGCTGTCACTGCCATCCAGTGCACACCGTCAGGACACGGCTTCGTCACCTGCGCTTCGGATCTGACAGCAAAGATGTGGACGCCCTCTGGTGGCAGGCTAGTGAATGTCTGCACGCTGAGGCACAGCAGTGAGGTGTTGGCTGTGGTCGTGTGCCCACTGCCTGGCCGGGGTGAAGCACCCATGCTGCTGCTAGCAACGTAGGTGGCCACAACTGTCGTCACACGTTTTCGACATTACCTGATTGTGTTGATGTCTGGTCGCATATAATGTTATTCAATTATATAATTGAATAAATGTGAAGTCATTGAATAGATGTGTACGTAAAACGCAAAAAGCAAGTCAGTAAAATGTGCTGACATTTTTCAGGGGCACTAAGAGTGGATTAGTGAGCGTGTGGAAGGTCCCGCAGATAAACGGTTCGACAAAGACACCCACCGATGCAGACAAGGTAAATCTATATGTACAGTGTAAGTATTTTGTGAGAGTGCAAAAGAGAGAGTAAGGGAGAGAGAGAGAGAGTGAGAGAGACAGAGAGAGAGAGAGAGAGAGAGAGAGACAGACAGACAGACAGACAGACAGACAGACAGACAGACAGACAGACAGACAGACAGATAGACAGACAGACAGACAGACAGACAGACAGACAGACAGACAGACAGACAGACAGATAGACAGACGGACGGACAGACAGACGGACGGACAGAGAGATAGAGAGAGAGAGAGAAAAGAAGAAGAAGAAGAAGAAGAAGAGAGAGAGAGAGAGAGAGAGAGAGAGAGAGAGAGAGATATATAGAAATAGAATGAGGTGTTGCCCCCTTCCCCAACCCCAATTCTTTGCCAATGATTTGTTACCAACCTGGAGAGAATAAACTTGTAAACAATGAGTAGAAAGTACTTATAAGTTAGTTAGTTAATTCAGGGCATGTTTGACAGGAGTTACAGGACTTGCAGTGCCTTGCTGCAAAGATGGAGCAGCAGTGTGTGATGAGTGCAAGAGGCCACCTAGCCAGCATTGCTTCACTTGCTTTCCATCCCGGAGGCATGATGCTTGCTTCAGGCTGCAGTAATGGCATTCTAAACATATGGTCACTGCAGGTGAGTGAATCAGTATCAAGTGTAAGTTTCCTCTGTATGATAGTAATGATAAAGCTGCTGCTGCTGCTGCTGATGGTGATGACGGTGACGATGATGATGATGACAATGCCAAAGGTTATCGATTTAGTCGTATTACGGGGTCAATACTGCTATCAATATCACCTCGCACTTATCATATTACACTGTGATATACTCCAATAATCTATATTAATTAATATGTAATTTTATTGTCCTTATTCTCAACAATTGCGTTTACGATACACTGGCTGGCTGCTGAGTAATTGCTGTGATATACTATCAAAACAATTATATGCTAGGTTGCACGCTATTTTACGGTATAGTCTATTACATATGTTCCATTATCCAGGATATTTATATCAATGTTTACGACGTGTCGGCAGCGGCGTGGATTTGACATGCATAGCTTACGTGTTAGTTGGAGATGTGCTGACTAGCGATGTGTTTGGTTGAACAGGATGGCTGCGTACTGCAGACGCTGGCAGGAAGTGGCACTGTTCAGGACCTTTCCTGGGCCAGCGAGCACAGACTAGCAGCCTGTTTTAGCAGAAGCAAGGTAAGCTGCTAGCACATGATCACCCAGTATCAGCAAAGGTTACGCCCTACCCCCTAAGTATCACTATCGTTACTTCTGTTCTTCTATGACTGCGTATAAATACTGTGTGTGGGACACCGTCTTGATGTATGTCTGTATGAGTAATTCTAGGACAAACAACCCCCATGTCATTCAATCTCCCCGAAATATGTTTTTTTTTTTTTTAGATTGTGTGGAATATTAATTGAAAAAATATTTTGAAAAAAACGTGCTATTATTTGTTTTCGAGTATATAAGTTTAGCAATAACTGAGGATGAATTTGGTATTATCCGTAATTGCTTTCAACCTCTCTGAACCATCCAAAATATTTATTATCAGTTTTATCTTCCCTTTAAGTTTGGGGTTGTTGGGGTTACAAGTCATCATTAACGGTATAACTTATCCCTTATGTTCTTTTGTTGTTTGGAGTTCTGCAATTGGTATGTTAGTTGCCATTTTTAATGCCATATCTGATGAGGGTAATTTAGTCCTGTTAGGAGTTCTTCCGCATTAAATCTCCACATCTACATCGGCTGGTGGTAAAGGGTGATTCCCAATTGGCATTGCTAAAATAGTTGAACAATTAGTGGCAGAGACGCTCACAAATCCTTGCTCTCATTGGTTATGCTAAAAATATATTTGCTAGTTCTTTTTTAAAATGAAGACAAACTTAGTTTGCATGTGATTTTCTGTCTCTACTGTGTTGGGATTTATGGAATCATGTTGGCTGTCATGAATAATAATTCTTGCGTAACGCGTGTTCTTCTTTGGATAACTTAATATTTAGTATGAGCATGAACAGAAACAATTTGACTTTTAAGTTTGAAAGCAAAAGCCAATTAAAAATAATCTAATAACCTGAAATGTATTTGGGGTGCATACCATAGCTAGCATCAATAGCCACAATATACATACGATATTAAATTGTACGTGAGTCCACCTAATTCAATAGGAAACATAATTATAACGGAATGCTTTCAATTTAAATCTTGCGGAACTTTGGTAAACGCGGCAATGCGGAAATTTGACATAGACTGACGCTGACGGCATTGCTGCTTGCAGGATGTGCTGCTGCTAGAGTGTGGCGTCGGCGCTCTACATGTCAGGAGTAGGGTGGTCGCGGCGAGTCGGGCTGCTCTGAACGCGCGTGGCGTCAGGGGCCTGCACAACGCACCCTGCCTGCAAGGTCTACTGCAGTGGCTGCCGACGCTGCTGCAAGAGCAGCATCAGTACGAGAAGGTGGGTTCGTGCATCTCTGTCCGTACGTAAGCTGATAGATGCAGCGTGAGTGTCTGTAAAGGTGCTGTTGCTATATTAGCCCAGGGCTAACGGAAACCCGTCACCGTGCAAAGTGTCACTGTGTTGGGAGAGTGGGATTCAGGCCAGCAACTTCATCTCATAGAACAATCTCAATTATAGAAACCAAAGCTATACAGTTACCGAAACCTCGTGGCCCACAAAAAGTTAATGAGTGAATAATAAAATTAATTATTTTATTATAAATTATATTATTATATTTATATTTAATCTATTAAGTTAACCAATTAACATATTTTCATGGGTTATCTCGTCGTGCGACCCCCGATTGTGTGACTCGCGTCCCTCGCCTCCCACGTGGCGTGGCGCCGCTTACGGAGCGCTGCGGCTTGTTGTCACGGCAGGTGCACGTCGTCAGTGGGGAGCAGCTGATGCACAGCACCTACCTGCAATGCCTCGCCATGCTCGCGCTCAGCCTCCAGCTGGAGCGCGTACTCTGCCACCCGCTGCACCCGCTGCACCACCCCGCCGAGGCGGCGGGGGCCGCCGGCGAGCCAGCAGGGGGCACCGTGCATGAGTGGCAGTGGCTGCTGTCGTACTGCACGGCGGTGCGCGCGGCGGCGGCGCTGAGGGACGCGGCGGCGCTGCCAGCAACCTTCGTCGTGCCGGACGTGTCGAGGCGGACAGACGACGCGATCTACGTAAGTGTGACGACGCACGCGCACACGCATGAACAAGTATGCACGGGCGCACGTATATACGCACACATGCATTGTACACATGCTCGCACGTTTAGACCCACACATGCATGCTCACACGCATGAATACGCGCATGTACGTACGCACGCACGCACGTATGTACGCACCATACACACGCTTGCATGTACAAACACACAAACACGCATATCTGCATGCACGCACTCACAAACACACAGGCATGCATTTTTGCAAGCACACACGCACACACGCTTGCACACACACACGCACGCACCCAGCCACCCACGCACACAAACACACAGGCATGTATTTTCGCAACCACGCACGCACACATGCACGGTCGAGCGCACGAATGCATTTATGCGTGTGCACGCACATGCACGCACACAGACACACACACGCACACACACGCACACGCACACGCACGAGCACGCGTACACGCACGCACGCACGCACGCACGCACGCACACACAATCAGATAACTCACGCGCTGCCTCGCTCCGCAGAATCCGTCCTGTTGGAATCTGAAGCTGGATGAGGAGATCATGTTGTGGGCGACGCAGCGTCCAGAGGACTGGCAGCAGGGTGGTCGCTGTGAGGTCTACCTGTGTGGAAGCGGCAGACACGGTCAGATGGGCGAGGCCGGGCGAAGCTCCTGTACACCCATCATCACCCCGTCCTTCTCACACTGTCAGCAGGTAAGATTGTCAACCCCCCCCCCGGACAGGCAACCCCAGTTACCTCAGAGACAATCACTCCCAGACAATTACCCCCTGTACAAAAACCTGTGTACTATTCTGTTCACTTCCCTTACAATGACCCGATCGCAGATACTATTTACAATGATGTGTTATACATTTCTAGTCTAACAACTGTAATCGTAATTTTACAGGTGATATGTGGGCAGAACTGCACATTTGTGATACAGGCTAGCGGTACAGTGTTGGCGTGTGGGGAGGGCAGCTATGGGCGACTCGGCCAGGGCAATTCTGACGACCTGCATTCCTTAAAGATCATCTCGGCACTACAAGGTAACCGTTCGCAACTGCCTGTCGAGTGGCGTAGTGCTATGAAATGTTGAGTGGGATCTTACAAGGTGTGTGTGTGTATGATGCACGTCAGTGATGATCGAACACATGGAGTGCAAACATAAAGAGGTTTATTATACCCCCTGCCAACGAAGTTGGGGGGGGGGTATACTGGAATCACCCTGTCTGTCTGTCTGTCTGTCTGTCTGTCTGTCTGTCTGTCTGTCTGTCTGTCTCTCTATCTGTCCGACACCAGACTTGTGCGCAGATCTCCTGGAAAAGTACTGGACCTATTTCAACCATATTTGGTACACATCATCAGTACCCAATGTAGTTGTCGACCTGCGATGAATTTTTTGGGTCCGACATTTTCGGAAAGATTTATGGCCGTTTTTCGTAAATAAACCCATTTGGTTATATATGACATGCTGACGCCATCGAATGGATTATTTCATACATAACTGCCCACTCACTTCATACATAACTGGCCAGCCACTACCCACGTACAATCAAATGCCCTGGCCGCTGCATTAATTCGTGCCAGCTGTTTGCCAAAATCGCCCCTCCTTCAGATAAGCGCACATATAAATAACGTCCTCTCTCTCTCTCTTTCTCTCTCTCTCTCTCTCTCTCTCTCTCTCTCTCTCTCTCTCTTCTTCCCGGGATCCCTCCCTCCTTTCTGCCCTCCTTCCTCTGTGTGTGTCTCTGTATGTGTGCGTGTGCGTGTGCATGTGCGTGTGCGTGTGCGTGTGCGTGTGCGTGTGCGTGTGTGCTGTCACTGCTGTGTGTGTGTGTGTGTGTGTGTGTGTGTGTAGTGTGTGGTCTTGTGGTGTCGTTCTGTGTGTGTGTGACTGTGTGTGTTGGGTGTGTTCTGTTAATGTGTGTGTTGTTTGTCGCCGTGTCTTGTCGAGTGTGTCTATGTTGGTCTGTGTGGTGATTGTGTGTGCGTGGGCGGGGCGTGGTTTGCGTGCGTGGGTATGGCAGCTGATTGGTTTGTCTCTATAATTAGCCGTATATATAAGTTGTACAAAGGCTTCTAAATTACACGTACAGGCACCATAACAGCTGTCGAAGCGGGGGGTGAGATCTATTATATTAGTCCCTCTCTGTGACAATCATTCTAGTTCTAATATAGGTTTACATTAATCAAACCCTGCTATGGCTTCGCGTCACCTTTCGCACGTAACTCTCCCCCATACACCCTTCTTTTGTGTTATCGTAATATATCCTGCCCTAGTTCTCTGTCTTCGTAAGTCGCGGCGGGTGGTGCTGCTAAATCAATATATGAGTAATCCATTTATGAATGTTTGGCTCAACCATATTGGGTGCTGCATTCATTTCTATCAGAGAGCGGTTATTGCACGTATCAGGTAATTTGTATGGTTTTCATGTCTACCCAGCCGCCGCCTCGCCCTCCTCCTTTGTTTTCGCTCGGCTCTCCACTGCCGCAGAGTAAGTTTCCTCTGTCGCTCTATAACACGACCCTAATTGACCCTATGGGCGTGACCAAACACTTGGTATACTTACACATTTGGGCATGAAGTTGTTGGGTCAGTAGGTACCCAAAAACCAGGTCACTGCGACGCCTTTATTTGACCTTTACTTGACGCTGTGATCATTATTTCCCTTCTTCGCTCTCTAAACCCGCCCCCTAATTGACACTATTGCGTTACTCAAACTTGGTTATCCTTACACATCTGGGGAGAAGGTGAGCTAGCGTACCATAAACGTCAGGGTCCACTCTGGCGACGCTTTATTGACTTTTACCTTTGACGTTGTGATGGCATTATTTTCTCCTTCCGCTCTCGGAGATTCGGTGCCCCTAAATCTTGTGACCTATTTCGCGCTACATAACTTGGTATACTTACAGTATCTCAGTCTTGGAGTAAGGTGTGATGTTCAGCGTGTTCCCTATTATAAACTTAGTACACTGTGTGTGTGGGCGACCTTATATTTGATCTTATCTTGACCTTGATCATATTTCTCTTCCGATCTCGTAACTCGGCCCGTAATTGACCTAGCGCTACCGGTTTTTGGCAAATCGTTGTGTTAATTTACTTATCTCGACTATGTTACTTGGGAGTAAGTGTGAAAGCGAGCGTGATTACTTGAATATGACCTTAGGTCAGTCTTTTGTTCGACTCCGTTTTTTGTATTCTTTTCATTGACTTTGATCAATATTTTTCCGTTCGGTTTTGGCTGCCCTTCTACTTTAATCGTCGTGTCCTCTACATTGACGGTCTATTTTCAGTGCGCTATCATAACTTGGTATAGATTCTTAGTGATGCGGCTGGTGTCGTGGGCATTTGGGGAGTAATGTGGAGCAGGTGTGTTACCAAAACCAACGTCTACTTGCGACCTGGCTTTATTTTGTGACCTTTACTGTTTGACCTTAATCATATTTCCTTCCGCTCTCGTGAACCTTCGTGTGGCCGCTTGGATATTTGATCCTATACGCGCTATTTTGGTGAGGATAAACCTGCGTTTGTATAGTTGCTTGTGGGGATGTGTGTGTTTATGTCTCCGGTAGTGTTACTACTGACATTGAGTTGATCGACTTTCTACCTGTTGTATCTTGATGTCGTCATATGTTCCTGTGGCCGCTCTAGTACACTCAGCCCCTTAATTTGACTAGCGCTACCCTGATAATTCTTGGTATGAGCTCATACATAGTCTCTGTGGAGATATGGTGTGTCGTTCTGTATCTTCAAACTGGTAGTTGTTCAGCTTTGGACCGCTATCTCCTTTAATTTGATCGCTTTGAGCGCGTTGACCCTTGGATCATATTCCCTTGGAATCGCTCTGTAAGGCCTTGTGCGGCTCTCTTTTGTCCACTTGATTTTTTGATTTTGGCCGTCCCTTGTGGGCCCTTTTTGTTTGTTTGTTTTTGGTGCCTCTCCTATGCTGCTTTTGCTGTTGCTGGTCTATACTGACTTCGGGCCCTAAATTGTGATCTCTTGATCGCCTGGCTACCAAACTTGGTATAGGTAATTACACGCATCTTGTGGAGGGTCACTATTGTGTGTCGCGTCACCAAAACAAGGGTCACTCATTCCCACAGTGCTATTATTTGACCTTGGGATCCTTTTGATGTACTTCTCTCTGCGACGCGATGTTCCGTGATTATTTATTTCTCTTCCACCTAATAAACTAGTCGGTTTGGTGGCCCGCTAATTCGACCTATGGCGTGGCCCGACGTCTCTGAGGATGCGTTTGTATACTAGTACAATCTGTGGGGTAGAACACGGCGGATACATGTGGTGTGGCGACGAACTGGCCCGGCTTTGTGTCTTCAGTTGTTATGAGTGGCTTAGCGTGTATAATCTTACATAACTCTATCTATCGCGTGCGCTACTTTATTTCGTCTCTTATTTAGGTGGGGGTTGGGCAGCACAGCACAATGGTCTACTCGTGAGTGAACCGTATGAGCGTTTTACGCGCAATTCGGAGAGACATGGCTTGATAATTGGCTTCGGGTTTTATCCGTGTGTTGGACTTTATTATGTATGCCGGCTTATTATCCTAGCCCTTGATACAAATCAATTTAGAGTGTAGATACTGTTGCCGGCGCAGTAATGGGCAAAATACGGTTGTGTATGTTACACGCCACAACTGCGCTTTTGGTGTGCTTAGTTTACGTTTGTCGCATTGTGTGTCGAGTGGGAAATTGAGCCTGATGTTAGGCGTTGCTGGGGATTGGATCCCTGGGTGGGTTATATGAGTTCGGAGCGTTTTTTAGTCAGCTGACGAAAGTCAGATGCAGCTTGTAGAATCGGCAGTGATATGGTCCGGGTGTCGTTTTCCGTGGTTCCTGTTTTGGTGTCTTTTCGTCTTGCCCGTGGGGTGTTTGTGGTGGCCTTTTCGCGTGGTTTTTGATGTCAAGAGCGTTACTGCACAAAGACCTGCTTTGAGACCGGTGGGTCTTCTGCTGTCGGTCTTTGTGGAGTATTCGTTTTCGTTTTTTCTTGACGCTCGTGTGGCGGGGTGGCGGGTCGGCGAAATAGGGACTCTGGGATGCTCGAAATTTGGGGTGCACGGGTTCAAGAGGCAGAGATGTGTCAATGGAGGGGAATAATTTTTCCTGCCTTAACTTAAGGGTATAGGAGAACATAACGGAATTGGCACGCTACAAATTCAACGGCTCGACCTACGCTCGTAATAAAGCGATGTAGTAGTGTCAGATGGAGAGGTATAATCGGTCTCTATCGGAGATGCGAATAATGGGAGTGTGGTGTGGTGTGAAGTGGTAGCAGGTCAAAGGGCAGTGGGGATAGGTCAGATATCAGACATTTTTCTGAGGGAGCATGTCTAACGGACGCGAGTTGCAAAACTTTTTTTGTTTCAGCACTGACAGCTAGCCATTTTTGATCACTTTATTTGAAGAGATAACGCATGAAATGTACTTTCCACTGACGTGTGAAGAGTAAGTGTCTGATAACCTTTTGCACCCTCAAGAGGAGGGTTTAATACATGGATTTGTTGACTGTTAAACAAAGGACTGAAGCTTGCTTTTGCTATGAGAGTCTCTCCTCTCATTGCTTGCCCTTTCAGGCGGGAACAATAGCTTGCGCAGTCTATTACACATTATATGGTTTCAACTCGTCTTCTGAGTATCGGTGACCACTGTTCTACATGTTTAGTTGGTCCTAGAACGCTAGTTTGGGTAAATACGGGTCGTAATGGGTCTAATGGGTTTGGGTCTAATGAGTTAGTTGAGTTAGCAACTCGCCAATTATTCAGTTGATATCTCTAAATTCACAATATGTTCTAATATGTTCTAATATAATACAGTTATCTTCACTGACAACAGCCTGAAGCTGACAGCCTGATGATTATACCAATAATAAACAAGTTTGGACATGAGGAATCTGAAAGTTAGAGAGCTGGTAATCTGAATGTAAACACATGGCTAAGGCACGTCGAGTGTGTTGATTTACAAAAGATATGTCAATCGGTTTTCTAGTTTGTGGTGTGTTGTCACGGGTTGTGTTTGTCTTTTGTTG